CTTTATCAAATGGCTAAGATCCTAGAAACATTCAAGTGTCAAAAAAGTTCCCCAGAATTCTGGAAATAAATATTAGAAAATGAATACTTGCTATTGTTTTGTACATGACAGTCCTTCCAAGGGCACCTGGCATCAGAGTGAGGGTATCAGTTCCCTAATCCTGGGTCTGTCACTGAGTACCTCTGTGACAGGCAACCGTAGACTGCAGTCAGTGTCTAGTATGACTCAAGACTGCACCATGAATCTCATGCCCCAGGCATCAGGAGATCACATTCATGACTTGGAAGGTTCTTTCTAACTCAAAAATTCTTACAACTGCTTAACACTTAGGCTGGAGTCAAGGGAGTTAGCTTAAGAGAACAGGCCAGTTGCCATCTGACTACTAATGATTGATTCAGTTCATGAAAAGTCACTGATTCTCTATACAGATGGTATGTGCATAACTATATTGTCCTGGCACTCGGTATGGGAAGGGGGCAAGGCCATCCTACCAAACATCAACTCATCCTCAAAGCTCAGCTCGCCAAATACATACTGCGTGTCTAGCAGGTATTAGGGACTTCCCAATGGTTAGATTAAAAAGTAAATAAAGCAGCAACTTCCCTCCAAGACTCAGGGACAGGCAAGCAGACTTTTCCTTCCTCTTAATGATTACTGCAACTTGCTTATGCCAGCCTACTGCACCTGTGACATATGGTCCTGTGCCATAAGTATCTATCTCCCTGTGTCATCTCCATTAGCATATGGTCTCTTCCCTGGAGAGAGGAACCTTACCTGATTGCTTTTTGCATTGCCCAAACAGACACGTTCACAAGCTCTTTTCAACACACCCCTCTTGTACCTTGATCTCCAACTTGCTCAGATTTTGTTCTCATTCCTTTCTTTTTTCTTTTGGTCGGGGCGGTGGGGTTTCAAACAGGGTCTCACTGTATAGTTCAGGGTGGCCGTGAACTTACTATGTAGCCCAGGCTGGCCTCGAACTCACTCTGTAGCCCAGGCTGGCCTCAAACTCAGTGATTCTCCTGCCTCAACCTCCCAAGTGCTGGGATTTACAGGCGTGCATCACCACACCCAGCTTCCCTCTCATTCGCTTTCCAAACACTCCCACTTGCCTTCCCTACTTTCCATTTGCATACATTCTCCAGTTCTACCCATCTTTCTGCCTCATGGCCTTGCTATTTTCCACCCTTTGCTCACCCTTCCTATCTCCTGATGGCTTCCCTGGGGTGGACTCAGGCCCCACAGGCAGCCAGCTAACCCCTTTTTTGCTCCAGTACATACCATGGCTCTGGATAACTTCTGACCTCTACAGAAACAGCTGCTCCTATCCTTTACCAACTAAGCTCAAGACCCACCAATACTTAGGACCACCCAACAAAACTCCACTTTGACCTGCCCATAACATTGCTGGAATTACTAGAGCTTGAAAAAGAATTCCTGACCTCTTAAGTATGACATCAAGTCTTCTTTCTACCACTTAAAAATCAATTGCTTGTTACTTTAAAAAAAAAAAAAAATCAGAAACACATAATTTTATCCATGGGCAAATGAATTTAATTAAAACTTTGACTTAATAATGACTTCTCTTGAGGAAACTTGCAAAATGCTTTAAATTGGACCCATAGAAAGGCTTAATTCGAATTTAAAATTTAAGAATTAAAGAAAGTGAAATGCCCAGAAACCAGTCTGATGTAGCCCAAACTGAGTTTAATGAGACATATAATTAAAATAGAAATACTAGCAAATGATTACCTTGAACCGATCAGTTTTAGGCAGTGCTAATGATAGGGTAAAGTAGGAACTGGATGATTTCGTCTTGCCTGCTTCTCAGCTGCCAAAAGACTTGCCTGTTGAGGGCTTTTCCCGGTTTGGCAGCTGCAGCTGGAAGGGATGAATTATGAATGACAATCTGGCCACAAGAGAGGCCACCGTGGCTGCTGCTGAGGCGATACCCTGCTCCCAAGTACCACCACAGGACAAGTCAGAAGGATGGGACCACTCCATGACACAGCAGCAAGCCCAGCACCCTGCCCATGCCTCGGCCTAGTGCAAGACCCTTCCTTTCTTCCTTCTTTTCAGATTCCTTTTCTTTTTCATTTTATTACCATCTCCTTTCTACCTTCCTCTTTCTCCTGCCCCCACTTATTGAATTCTCTCCGGCTGGCCCTTTCTCTCAACTGTTTTCTTCTTTCTTGAATTCTAAAGCAGAGGAACAGCAGTTACATATTTATTCAATTACATCAATATTCCCAGAGAGGCAGTCTCTGGCTTCAGGCACTGCACTACACAGCACTAGACTTACCAAAGTGGCAGAAGCTTGGGTATCCACCTTCTAGAGAAAGCCATAAAACAACAACACACACATGAGATACAGACCCCGTGGCTGTTACCCGGGACAGCTCCCATCTGCAGTGAGCAGATGATCGCGGAGGGACTAGGTGACATGGAGAATGTGTTTGCCAAAACAGAGCACTTGGAAAGGGCATGGGTGTATGGATTTATGGTTGAAAGCTTCTGATTACTGCAAGATTATTTTACCTCTATAATGAACTTAAAGGAGGGATGCTGGCACATCCAATTTCTCACAGACGGGACGGCCTGGGCTTGGGAGTCAGGGATTTGGGTTTAAGTCCTTGTTTACCTAGATAGATGGCTGGTGACCTTGGGTAAATTGCGCAAACTCCTTAGTTATAAAACAGGAGCATGAATGCTTACTTACTTCCAGAGTTAAGAGAACCTGAATAACACGTGGAAAGTGCTTGACATCTATCTTAGCCCATCTGTGCTACTACTAAAGACAACATTTTAGACTGGGTAATTGATAAACATCAGAAATTTATGGTCCAGAATCTGGAGGCTGGGAAGTCCACAATTAAGTGGGCTCATGTCAGGGGACAGCTCATTCCTCATAGATGGTGCCTTCTATGTGTCCTGAAATGGCAGAAGGGACAAACAAGCAGAGCATTCATGACCTAATGACTTCCCAAAGGCCCATCTCTTAATACTACTGCATTGGGGATTAGGTTTCAATATACAAACTTGGGGCCAGGGCGGCTGCAGACATCAGAACATAGCAGTATCTAGCAGGCTGTCACCTTTTCTCCTGTGTCTGTACATAAAGAAGGACTTCTCTTTCTAGAACACCCAAAAGTAATCTTCCTCCCTCTGTTCTTCCCTCTTCTTGTCTCACACTGCCCAAGGAAGAGAGGAAGATGCTTCCATCCTCTGGGCAGAGCAGCAATGTGGTGAGGATCCACTCTCTGTCCCTCATTCCTGCTGCCTGCCTGCAGATGTGTGGAACCTTAGCTAAGACCTGTGTGTCCTTCTTCACTGATGAACAGCCCACATGAGGGGAACAGGGCAACCTTCAAACCCTGACAATTATCATAACCATGGACAATGACAGAAAACTTTTCACTGCTGGAGAAATTTCAGAAAAGAATTAGCATTATATTTATATAAAGAATAAGTGACTACGTAGTGCTCTTTAGACATGAAATTCCCCTGGCTTTAGTTTCCTCTCTTCCAACAACAGGTAAGACTGTGGCCAAGGAGAACTTACCATCCTCTGCTTACCTTTGTTACTGTCTCACTCAAGGTGACTGGCAGGCTGCCCTGTGCTCAAGTCCAGAATGGAACTAAAATAAACTGTTAACTAATCCACAGTAGAATCTACCTGGAAACAACAATATGCTCACAGAAGAAAGAGGTCTACAAGGGTTCCAACTAGAACTATAAAATAAAAAGCTAGTAACTAAGGCTATGGAATGATGCCCCCAATGCCATAATTGAACAGGTGCCACAACCAGCTGAACCAGATACAGCCACTCGATGCCCTTGGGTCCATCCAGCTCAGCACATCATTATGACCAATGCACCCACCCAGCTAGCTCCCTTTGCTCCTGATTAATCCTGAAATTTTCTGAGAAAGTCTTTTACAAGTGGTGATTGAAATAGATAGTAGATGCTTAAATTTAAAAAGTCATTACAGTAAAGGACACATTGCCATTAACTCTCTCAAAATACCCCCCTCACTTCAAACACACTTATCCCATCATTCTTGCCACTTGCTGAAGCAGTTTTGAAGATCTTTGTTATGAGAGTCATGATAAAAAATGTGGTGAATGCTGCTACGTCCCATCCAACAGAAAGACAGACTTGTAAATACATGATGGTGTGTCCTTATCCACTTTATTCACCAGATCTGTCACTGTGCAACTTCTAGGTCTTCCCCAAAGTCAAACGATCGTAAAAGGTAAACATTTTGAATTGATTGAGAACATCAAGGCATTCACAGCAGCACAACTAAAGATACAAAAGAGAAATTCCAGGACTGCTTCAGAAAGTGACAAGAATTATGGGATGAAGGTGTTTGAAGCAAAGGGAAGTATTTTGGGGACTAACAGCAATGTGTCTTTTACTGTATTAATTTTTTTAAACATTCACTGTGTGTTTAGAACAGAACTCACATATATGCTAGAAATGCAATGACCAACTAACATCATTCAACATCTTCATCCTGCTTATCAGTTGTCTTAGTCACAGGAATTGACTAAAATGGCACTCTGTTGGGTCGATGTCCACCCCTGAGCCCTGGCAAGTGTAAGCCTACCAACAACAATCAGACTAAGAAACAGCTTAAGACGGGGACTCGGACAACTGTGATTCCATCAAAGTATTCTGTTCATAATACTCTGGCCCCAAAGACTCAACACTCAGCTCCAAAACATCATTCTCATCTCCTCTACTAAAATTTAGCAGTATTTTAGGACTCTTTTTAGCTTTGGACCAGTAATTAACAGCAAGATGGGCCCAAAAGAGGCAAGGTCCTTCGTGAGCCCTACACAAGAGCATGTCAGGGAACTGTCCGAGTGGTGGTGTTGACAGGGAAGTCCAGCCTGGTCCTGATGATCACAATACCCCTGGTCCAATGCAGATGGGGATAGAGGGTCAGGCAGAGGATGGGACACTGTCTACTGTGATGTCATATCATGGTAGCTGGGTGGAGAAGACCTGGTGATAATCCAGTATAGACCATGCTGGAAGGCCACATTGGCAAACAGGTAGGCATGCGTAAGGTAGTGAGCAGGACCTGGTACTAAGACAAGATAGAGGGTTAGGACTCCATCCCTGGATGGATGACTGGCCCCTGTGTGTTTATAAGACTCTTCAAATTTTGGGGTGATCACTTAGTCTGTACCTCCCCAAATCACCCTCCACCAACTGAATTATGGTGAACACAGGCCCAGCAATGTCTCTTCCAGGCTGAAAGCCTTCAGGTTCACCCCTATTTTCCACAGAAAGAAGCCAACTCCTCTTCACCCTACTCCATCTCTACCAGGAAGGATTTCCCTCATTCTCGGTATGCCTCGTTCTACCTCTACAGTACCTATGAATCTAGCATTTTAATTGTAGTGTGTGTGTGTGTGTGTGTGTGTGTGTGTGTGTGTGTTAGCAAAGTTTAACTTCTCTATAGGCAGGGAATAAGTTTTATTCATCTTTGGAAATGTGGTGGTTAATTTTATGTGTCACTTTGGCTGGGTCAGGATATACAGATATGTGGTACATCATTATTCTAGAAGTTTCTGAGTAGAGTTTTGGGATTTTTTTTTTTAAATAAGATTAACATTTAAATTGGTAGGCACTGAGTGAAGCAAATTATCCTTATAATATGAGTGGGTTTCATCTGCTCAATAGAATAACTTATTAGAATAAGACTGACCTCCTCCAAAGAGGAGAATTCTGCCAACAAGATGGCCTTCGAACTTGAACTGCAACCTTTTCCCAGGGTCTGCACCAGGCCAGCCCACCTGCTGTCTTAGAACCTGCCAAACCTCCACAGTCATTTGAGTCAATTGCTTAAAATAAATCCATCTAGATAGATAAATAATCAGATAGGTTACTGTTCTCACACATCTTGTTGGTTCTATTCCTCTGAAGAACCCTAAGACAGTAAGTGTAGTGCCTAGGACAATGCTTAGTACATGGTAATAGGAATTAATGTTATTCTTTAGGATCTAATCACTTTCAATATTTTTTCATTCGATCCCTTTAACAAAACTATGAGACTGGTGTTACTATCTCCACTGAACAGATAAAAAGACTAAAACTTATAGAGGCTCAGTAACTTGCCCAGCCCTGGTCTATCTGACTTGCTGCCCCACATCAGTAAGTGACTGGAAGGAAGGAAGTGCGCTACATTTTGCTGACAGTACAATCTTGCTTGTGTGAGGAGAAGAAAGGTGAACAGAGAGGCCGTGGCTTCACCTGCTATGGATGCCATTATCAAGCATACATCTTGTGTGGCCATGGCCTGGGTCTTATCTCTCTACTCTGCAGCACTTGAAAACCCTGAGCTTCCTCACTTTTCCTGCAGGCTGGGATGAGAGCCTGAGAAACAGAGAAGGAGCAATTGAGCACTGTGGAATGGAGAAGAAGATGCTGGCTGGAACCAAACTCACCAGCAGGGGCTTCCCTGGCTGGCTTTGGGTCTCTGGGTCTGGAGGGACTGCAGTGAGGTGGGCCTGAAACGCTGTCAGTCCCTGCAGAACCTCTGAAGCAGCACACAAATGGCTCCCCTTGTGCAAGGTAAAGGGTAAAAACTGTAGCTGCCTCTAGGGCTTATCCAGAAAGAAAATAAACTAACAAGAAATTCAGAAGAAAAACCATAGGACCTTGGGTCAATCCCCGCGATCAGTTCAAGTTCATTTAACAGGTTCCTTGCTCTGACATACAGACAGCAAAGCATAAGCCCTTGGGCACCTTGAGCTGTTCAGCTTTAAGCAAAGCAGTCTGTAAATATGGTTACAAAGCTATTTACCAAGTCAGTTGGAAACGGTTATTGCAAATTTCAACATTTTTGGAATTAAAAATAACCTTGAACACTTATTCTAAAACATCTCTGACTACCACAACTTGCTCATTCAGACATTAATATAAAGTCCTCCCAAGGACTTGAGAGAGAATTCCTAAACTTCCAGGAATGTTTAAGCACCAAACAACAACTCCATTTGCACTAACCTAATTCAGATGTCTAGCCTTCCCAAGGAATTGAACCCAGGGAATTCTGAATGACATCCCTAGTCCCCTTTTATAAACTCTGTAAGACAGGGTATTATAGTTAAGATCTAAAATATCCCCCACATTTCATGTGTTCAGAGGTGGGGCTTTTGGAAAGTCACTGGATCTTGGGGGAGCTATGTTTACTAGTGGATTCATCCATTGAAAAGTTCACAGCTGAATGTACTATTAGGAGGCAGCCCTGTTAGAGGAGGTGGGTCACTGGGGGCATGTGTTTGGAGGGCATATTTCTTACTGTGACTCTTCCTTCTCTTTCTGATTCCTGGCTGCCATGAGTTGGGCAGCTCTCCTCCACCATGTCCTTTCTACCATGTCATTTCTACCTTGGAGCCAGCTGACCATGGACTGAATCCTCTAGAACTGTGAGCCAAAATAAACCTCTCCTCCTTAAGTTGTGGACGTCTGGTGTTTGTCCCAGAAACAGCAAAGTGACTATTACAAAGGGTCTCAAAAAGTTGCCTCACACTTGCAATCCTCCTGTCTCAGCCTCCAGAGTAGCTGGGATTATAGGTGTGCACTTCTAGTCTTAAGTGTACCCAGCCTATAGCCTTATTAAATGGTCACATTTTAGTGACTCTGAAGAAATGAGCACGGTACTAAGTATGCTAAGTTGGAAAGAAAGTGGACTTTGCTGTCAGATACCAGTTCTGCCAGTAGCCAGCTGGGTGTCCTTGGGCAAACAATCAAATGTCATTAAGCCTAGGTCTTATCTATGAAAGGAGGAAGGGAATAAGATTATTGTTAGGATAATTCTTAAAATTCCCTAATGAACTACACACATCACATCTGGCACAAGCATCAAAATGGCTCCTCCGCACTCACTTAATAGGAAGTGTTCACCAGGGCGAGCCTCTCACAGAATTCACTTTGTTCTTCCCACTTCTCTTCTGAAAATAGTTTAAATTATTATTTCACAGATATAAAACAACTGACAAAACCAGAAGAGATTTAACTGTCTCCGCTTTCAACAAAGAGAAGTCACTAAGCACGAGTCTCTGGATTAACTAATATGAAAGAATGAGCATAAAAAGAATAAAGCCCATTGGTCAGGTCAAGGAAAAAACTTAACAGAAGGAAGGTTCTTCTTCTTAGGATTAAAAGTAAAACTGAAACGCTGTATGGGGCATAAAAGGTAACTAGAAACTGGAAAATCAGCTCAATGGCTGGATTAAAGGCTGTTCAGAGATGCCCCAAGTCTTGGGAGGAATAGAAAAGTTAAGGACAGTGAATAACAAAACACATATCCAAACTCACAGAGGCTGCCTCAGCTTGGAAAGTTGGCTGATCACCATGGGAGACATGAAATTCCTGAGTAAAAACATAGAACAAATCCCTAAAGGAAATCAGTGCTAACCCCTCACACAATATTCAGAGTATGTGTACCCTGGAAAATTGTGCTTCCTCTTGAAGGCCCTTAGCACATCTTAGTTTATTCTGAAGGGCACATTAATTGTTTAGATTCACTAAGATTCTGACTCAGAAAGACCGGGGACAGGGCCCAGGGATCCATGTGTTTAAAAGCTGCCCAGGTGACTCTGGAGGTGATCAGAGTCTAACAATCAGGTCTGTAAGCCGTGGACATTCTGAGTGCCCTGAGGAGCCCTTAGGTCCTGGAGACTTTATCTGATCCCTTCCATTTACTTGGCTCTATCTAAAGAATAAATATACACAAACTAATTTTCACCCAGCACTCCTCACTTGAATGAAAAACCAAAGGCAGGGCCATTAAGCAGGAACTTCACACTTCTTGTCTCTCCCTGCAGGTGCTGTCAGCTCACAATCAACTTTCCAGAGGAAGCAACCCTCTCCCAGGCCCTCTGGGACCAAGTTCTGGATCGCATGCCCTTTCACATACAAAACTTTCCTTGGTCCTCCCTACCATCACCTCTACTTCTCTTTTTCAAGACCACCAGATTTCCCTGGTGAGCAGTCTACACAGACAGCTGCTTCCCCACGCCTCCTAAACACTCTGCAGTCTGTCTTCACTGCTTTCTACAACTTTCTTCTCCAAAACTTCAACACCCTCCTCTCAGGGCCAGGAACACCCTCTCACCCCACCCCGCCCTTGCTGCGTTCTCAGTGGCCTGGAACTTCGGCCCTCTGTCCCGGGCTCCTCCACTCACACAAACTGCACAGGGAGTGTCCCCAGGGGAGTCTCTCCAAGGTCTCAGCATTCCTTTCTCTGGAGCTTATCGCCTTTCCTGGTTTCACCTGCCCTTGGGGACCAAAGATCCCTCAAGACTCTCACTGCCAGCCAGGGATTTCTCTCTTCCTCACAGGGCTCAAGCAGAAGCCATATTTCATCTCCCTATCAATCTCTGTTTCCAGTCCCCCTGCTCCTTTCCAAAGTATTCCCACTCTCCAGGACATTCAGGACTCCAAATTCCTGTCACTTCTGTCCCCTCCATCTACTCATACCTGTAGCTTTATTGGCTTCAAGACTGGAATGCCCCCCCCAAACCCACCACACTGTCTGCTGTCCTGCACCATTTCTTCATTCCTTAGCGTCCTAACGCTCTTTCTTTTCTTTATTCCAGTTGATACCATTCAAGCTTTCTCCCCACCTCAGTAAAATTAAAATAAATGCTACAGTCCTACTGATTCGGGGCCAGGACATTTTTATTTTTATTTATTTATTTTAAAGATTTTAATTGACCAAAATTTATATGTATTTATCATATATAACATGTTTTGAAGTAGGTATACAATGAAGAATGAGTAAATCAAGCTAACTGACATATATTTTACTTCACACTTATTTTTCTGTATAAAGTAAAAACACTTAAAATGTACTCTCTGCAGTTTTCAAGAATACAGTACATGGTTATTAACTAGGGTTGCCATGTTGTACAAGAGATCTCTTACACTATTTTTCCTGTTTAAATAAACCTTTGTGTCCTTTGACCAATTTCTGCCTCCCACTTTCCCTCCTCCAGCTTCTGGTAACCACCATTATACCTCCCACTTCTCTGAGCTCAACTTCTCAGATGTCACATATATGTGATATCATGCAATGTTCATCTTTCTGTTTGCTGGCTTATTTTACTTAGCACAATATCCTCTAGTTTCATCCATATTGTTGCAAATGACAGGATTTCCTTATCTTGAATGGCTGAATAGCAGTCCATTATGTACCACGTTTATCCACTGATAGCTTTGATGAACTCTGTGCATTGGCTTTTAGGAAAGGCTTACCTTAAATCTTTAAATGTGAAGATTCTGTGCTTGCTTAAAACAATATGGATATAGGCATGGTGGCAGTACATGCCTGTAATCCCAGCACTCAGGAGGCTAAGACAGGAGAATCAGGAGTTCAAGGATAACCTAGGCTACATGGCAAGCTCTAGGCTGGCCTGGACTACACAGTGAGATCCTATCTCAAGAAAAAGAAAGGAAGGGGGAGGAAGGGAAAGAAGCCAGGAAGGGAGGGGTGGAAGGAAGGAAAATTTAAAAGTAAGTTTCTTTCACCTTCTCCAATCATATGGGTGATTGAGAGGTTCAAGCTCACTGTGACTTCTGTCTACAGTTTGGTGACTATCATTCCAGAACTAGATAGACAGACAGACAGACAGACAAAGTATTCTTACCTTTTTAATTTAAATGGGACATGGGGGCTGGGGATTTAGCTCAGTGGTGCCGCCGCCTGCCCCACAAGTGCAAGGACCCAAGTTCAATCCCCAGGACCAAAAAAATAAATGGGACATGGGATCATAATGTCCACACTGTTCTACAATGTACTCTTTTATTGAGTATGATGGACCCCTGTCAATCTCATTTTCCCTGACACTCTGACTCCAGAACTTGAATATACCATAATGTAATCTAACTCTGGCTCTACTAAACATTTAGGAATCTTTCATCCTCAAACTCGTTGAGAAGTTACCCCTTACGTCACTGACTTGCTTCTCGCAGTTAATACTAAAACATCCATCACTGTGGCCTGGCAGCTGGATAAGGAGAACTCGGGCAGGCAGGCAGGGATGTCGTGAAGAAAGGAGGTAGTTAGCAGTGGTGGCAGTCCTCACCACACAGCCTCTTCTGTCACACCACCAGGGATGCGGGACTCCCAACTCCAAGGGGATCACAACTCTCCTTAATAACGCCACTGTATGGTGGGCTCCAGCCGTGGGTATTTAATTTGCTGAGGACACAGCATAATTATTCTCTCCAACTGCTATCAAATGGTATCTAAGCCCTAGGGCTGCATTTTTTCTTTATTTCTTTTTTCTTTTTTAGACCAGGTCTTGCTGTGCTGCCCAGGCTGGCCTCAAGGCCCTAAGATCAAGTGACCCTCCTGCCTCAGCCTCCTGACTATGAGGGATTACAGGCACATGGCACCATGGTTGGCCACTTGCTCCAGCTATCCCTCCTCATGAAATAGTTGTGTTCAAGGCCACACACTTTCCTGCTCACCTTCCTTCAGCTACCACTTAGTTTGCTAACGTCCTTCCTTAAAAGTTGACACCCAGCTTTAAGCCACGAAACACCTGGAGAGAGCTGTAACTTGACCTGCATAGAGGGGACTGTGGTGGCCACCTGCCCTGCTGCTGTATCACCTGCTATGGACAAGAAAGCAAAACGAGTCCCCTGGGTCATTTCACCACACTGGACAAGCCAAATGGGACAGTTGCAAAACTGCTTAGTCACCTGACTCATTCCCAACATTTACTCAGATATCCTCTGAGTCATCTCTGCTTTCAGGCTGTTCCTACTGTACTTAGGCATACATGCTAGAGTAGGTAAGAGGCCAGGGTTGGAACTCAGATTGCCGGATCCAAATCCAGACTCTACTGCTGACCAGCCATGGATCCCACACCAGTCACTTACTTCCCAGGGGAAGGGAGGAGTTTTATGAAAAAAACGTTATTTCCCACCACACACAGTTGCTATGTGCCTTAGATGAGATAATCCATGTAGCGTAGTTAGCACAATAGAATAACATAGGAAATATAAAAGTATTAAAACCTCTATTAGCACTATGACCAAAAGGTAAAGACAGAAATACTCCCACATGATAGAGTAAAATAAGGATGCCTACAGCCCCTGCTTCTCCGGGAGCAAAGCTGTATTTTTCTTTTCATTGGAAGAGACAGAAAGAAGTTACATCTTTTATATATCCAAACTGTTGGGAAGTAGTTAAAAAATAATGGCATAGGCTCTGTTTTAGAATACAGCAGCTTTTTTTTAGAATTCCCACAGGCAAAGCTACTCTGGTGGCTATGAACACATCAAACTAACAAACCCAGCAATCAGTGATAAGAAGTAATCTTTACCTGATTAAAAGGACCATTCCTTTAAAAGGTTCTTTCATGCCTCGGTATATATTACACTTACATTTCAGATTAGATTTCCACCTTCCCATTTCACTACAATCAAAGGAATTATTCTTTCCATCTTTCCCCCTTATCTTCACTCACCACCTTCTTCTGTCCCATCTTTTCTGCCTTCAGGCACCTTAAATCCCCTCATCCTTCATTATCCCCCAAGTCCAGGCTTCTTTCTCCTTCTAGATATCAACTGAAAAACCAAACTTTTCCTCCAAACACCACCCACACCCACCTCTCTGTCCAGGCATCCTTTCCCTACATTAAGGCAACCCCAAGGATACACGAAATCCTAAGTGGTTCAGTGGAGTAAGACCATGGTCCAACCTAGACCATTAAAAAATAAACGCCTGAAAGACAAGAAACCTGTGTTTCCTAAGTTTAGTGCCATGATAATATGAAGGCTTTTTCTCTATTAGCTTCAAAAATATCATGAGTGGACAACAGAGAAATAACAGCAAACATTATCTATATGGTGACTAAGCAACCCATTCACTATAACCTTTCCCATGGATCACCTCTCTCATTTGATTGTCACAGCAACCCTGCAATTTGGGTATTATCAGCTCATTTACAGATAAGAAATCAAGCTCTGAGAGTTTAAACAGCTCACTCAAGGTCACATGCCTAATAAAAACTGGCTCTAGGCCAAGCATCAAGCTCTTCACAGTTCTATTCCAGTTATTCCCACTACCACAGAGCAAAGCAAATTCACACAACACATCTCAGGAGGAAACTCAAATGTCTATTGCACAGCCTGAGTCTAAAGTTTTGTCTACTTTTATTCAACAGTTACTCCATTAGTCCTTGTTTTGGAAAAACTCAATCCTAGTATATGAGAACCAGTCACAAAAACCAGAAGGCTTCCTGAGACCAAAGACAGAGGCAAATTTCTTTTGGATCCACAACTGCACAAAGTATCATTTATTAAAGATTTCCAAATGGAAGTGTGTCAGAGATGGCAGCAAAACAGGAGAGAAAGAGGTTTGTGTGCTAAGCTTGACCCAGGAAGGCCAAGGCCAACTGGAATGTTCGTGATTTCTCTCAAAAACTACTGCCACATCTAATGTCAGTTAAGCAACAGTCTGGGTATCAGTGGCTTGTATGAAACACTTGGCTGCCTATCTTAAGGACTTTGTTTGTCTCACTGGGTTTGAGACATTTGCCAGGGTCACCTGGCAGGCAATATGGCAGTTACAACCAAGATGGCTGCAGTTACATCAGGTTGGATCCATACATTCCTTATGAGCAGATTCGGCATGTATTCTCCTGGCTTAAACAATATGTACTAGAATGGTTCTGTAATAAGGACAGACTAAACAGAGAACTGAGAGGCAGAAGAGCATTCTGAGGTCAAAACTCAATGAGGGAATGGATATCTCAGTGAGCAATCGCAAATGTATGAAAGGTTTTATTTGGGTATATTTCTGCGGTTTGATATCATGGAGAGAGAAGTGTTTCACTTATTAAGCAACTAGTCACTCATGAAAATTACCCAACAAGTAGCCTGAAGATTTAAAACAAAAGAAGACTACTTTACATCTTTACTGAAATCATTTAGTATGTATGCAAACATTTTAATGAAGCCAACTTTTTAAAAAAGTAAATAAATCTAAGTATAAACATATACCAACATAAGTGGATGCTAACTTTCCATTCTTCTGACTAAAAAATTCTCTTAAAAAAAAAATACTGGAGACTGAGGCAGGAGGATCACTGTGAGTTCCAGGCCAGCCTGGGCTACACAGTGAGTTCAAGGCCAGCCTGAACTACACACCAAGACCCTGTCTCATAAAAGAAAACAACAACAAAAAAGAAATACTGATCCTAACTTCCATTTCCAACAATACAGCAAGCCGGATGTTCTCAGACACAGCACAAATAATGATGCTAGGTTAGAAATAAAAATCATCATTTTTTAGATAAACTTTTTAATAATAGTTTTAGATTTACAGAAAATACATGGCAATAGTACAGAGAGTTCCCATACACTCAGCTTACGCTATTAGCATCTTGCATTAGTATAGTGCACTTATCACAGTCTATGAACTGGACTGATACATCATCATCATCATCATCATCATCATCATCATGACTGTTATTTAAAATTTACAGGAAGCCATTGTTTTGGATGAGGATCCTAAAGTGGGTACCAAAACACCAAGCTAAAAGTCAAAGTGGAATCACTCATATAAGTGACTGAAGACCTCTCCCAGCACCAGGCCAATTTCAATTGGCATGATACTGAAGTTTATCCTCTGCTTT